TTGAACGCTTATTTTCAAGTCCGTTGCGGCTGATTTTAGTCCAATATTTCATACGCTTCTCTGGTCTTCGCTTTGGAGAGCGAAGGGGATCCCAGCAAGGGACCGACTTCCCTTTGTGCGATACATGGATGCGGTTTTCGATCAAGGTGTTTTGTGCAATCTTGTTTGGTAACGTAGCTTTTTCAATTACTTTTTGTGGGAGTTTGCGTGGGGCAAGTAATCAGTGAAGTAAGCAAGGAGCGAGTCTTTTTCTCCGGGTAGAAAATCATAGCTGCACATTTTATCAATATGTTGAGATAACATTGATATCACTTGCCAGGAAGCTCTTTGAACTGGAGCACGCAATGGCGGTGCGTTACTGATCACCTGAAATTGAAGAAGATCGCAATTCGAAGAGGAGGGACACTCGAATAGTAACAGTCGCTGTAACGGGGCAGTGTTTTGGACGGAGGTTCGTAGAATCTGTATTGTGACAAAAAAGCAACGCTCTTGATCACAAATCATGTGCCACAAAACCACTGAACCCCTATCTTCCTTACACCTTTGTACTTATGTGCCGCGCTTGCTGGGTGCCGAAAACCCTTTCCTGCACCCTTTTCCGACACTTTCTATGATTTTCGAGCTCACCTCCCCTGACCTTGTTTTACCTCTGGAAGCTCCAGCCGTTTGTCAGTAACTTTATGTCCTTACGGATCCTAGTTGTCGCACTTGAAAATGTATCAAATGTACTAGGTACCATGGCGAGGGGCTTCTATACACTAGTGGTGAGTCAACCAATCACGAGTCCATAGTGCCACATTTAATTTTGTGGTATGACTTGTGCGATTACTTTCGTAATATTTGATTCTGCTTTGAGACCATACCATGAATGATCCTTCAACCTCATCACGGAGGGCTTCTACGATAGGAGCAGTATCCGTTACACAATTCAAAGCAGGCAAGACGCTGTTGGTGAGTTGAGTGGGGTGGATTTTTTTCAGACAGTACGTATTGCTTGATGCATAATTACTAAGGCGGCGACCTATGGCGTTTGCGTATTTCAAACCATAAAGGCTAAAGGCTTAAATTAAATCGCCACTTTTGATCCTTTGAACTCACGTTGTGTTTTAACTTACTAATGCTGTCTTTCTTTGCTTGGCTCCTGGCGTTTATAGCGTGGTCACGTGATGTGATGTCATCGGGCCCGCTGCAGGCCATTCAGGAGCGGGTAAAATGCATATTGTCAATGATTATTGGAACGTGTGTAGCTTCACAATCATTGAACAACACCTTAATCGGCACGTAAGTGATTGACAGGTTTATAATGCAGTCCACATGAGATACTCCATTGATGCCCCGATTCCCTGAAAATCCGCACAAAACAGCACTGTCGCCATGATGGGGGAGGGGAGGGGGGAGGGCTAGCGATACACAAATACTAATCACAGCCATACTTGGGTCCGGTCCGTTGCTTCGCTATCATGTTTCACGACAAAGCTACTTTCTAAAAAGGGGCAACGGGCCCGGCGTTTTGTTGAGATGTAACGAACTGAGTGATTTGCGTTATTTCCGTGACTCCGCCTCGTTATCTCGTTGCCTTTGGCTTTAGCGCTGATATGTGCAGAAATTAAGATGTTGAAAAAGGGGAAACAAGGCGGTTTGGGACATCACTTGAGTGTTCAACTTCTGAAAACAATCAAGTATGACTATTGTGGCGCAAAACGTAGAAGTTAGAAAAATGCCAACACGTTTTGTTTGAAATGCGTAAAATCCTGACCGATAGATTTCTTAGGCCTTACGCCTATACGAGAAAGGAGGCTGTGCTGCACTAGTGCCCTTAGCTTCGTGCAATATGTACAGTAAAAAAGCTGTGCGTTTACATAGACACGAATGGCAAGCCTGCATCTAATCATTTGCAATTGATTAAACTTAATTTTTAAACGACTGAAGCGTCGGGTTTTAACAATTTGCCAGTGCTCACTTGAAACAGCTCAACCAGTGCCTTGTGGTGTACCTATTAGTGGCTAAACTTCAGCATGAAAACCTCCAACCTCTAGTGCCCTGAGCCTTGTCATGAGCGCAGAGAGAGCAAGTCATACCTTTCATGTCCATACATGCAGCTTTTTTCACCAGTTTCGAACTGTCTCCTTAGGGGAATCCCTGGCTTAGGAAGCGTGATCTTTTTACATTCTTTAAACGTGTTTTTAATGCTACCGAATTGGCGGACTGAAACAGCTTCTGTTATGTTTTCTGTAAAGTAGCGGAGTAACGAGTCACGGAACTGTCATTGGAACGAACGGAGGAAGAGTAACAGAACCATCCTTTATTAACGGTGCCCACCTGAACCCGTAGCAAGACGTATGCTTCCTTTATCATTTTCAGTGCGTGTGCTACGTTACGCATCACGAGCTTAGGCAACATCTCGGCATCAGACCTGAGTGCTTACATTGCATTGCCTCCTTCTTATCAGCATCGATCACTCGCCCACGCTGACCGCCCGGCAGGCCCCATCCCGGCTAGTCCAGCGCGGCGGAGCGATGGGTCACGGCGCGCTTGATGAGCGTTTGCGGTCACCGACCCCAGCCGACGGGGCCGTGACCCTGCTCACCCTCCGACCCTGACCGTGGGTCACGGCACGCGCCCAGATCGGTCACCAGCTGCCGGAACGCCACCAGGTCCATGTTGCGGGCAAGCAGCGAGAGCAGGAAGAAGTCACCGAGACGGACGCTTTCCACCAGGTCCTCCAGGTCGTGCACGTTCGGCGAGCCGCGCGCGCAGCCTGCAGCATCGGCACGCGCATAGCCGTGGCCGACATCATGACCACGCGCCAGGCGAAGGCCAGTACGCTGGCGGCGGCCAGCAGCACCAGCCAGAACCAGAGCAGCAGGTAGATCTTCTCGTTGAGGATGTTGAGTGCCATCACGCAGATTGAGTCAATGGACTCGACGCTGCCCGAGCCGCCGACCAGCTGGAAGTTGCACTTGGTCAGCTTGGGGAATACCTCCGTCATCGGACTGGCGCCCGGTCCGCCGCTGCCGATGAAGAAGGCCCAGCGCGCGCGGCCCGTAGCGCAGGAACCGGCCCGCCCAGGAAGCAGTTGATGACGAAGAAGTTGAAAAAGACGTTGCGACGTTCAACAGCTCACATAAGACGAAGCGGAAAAAGTAGCCGTTGTAGGAGCCGAGCGTCTGCGCCAGATACTGCACGAGGTTGGCAAGTCGCGTCCGCCGCTCTTCGGGGTCCATGACGGGCAGCTGCATCTCCTGCAGGAGCGAGCTCAGCCGGCGGCCCTCCACCAGCTTCCACAGCCAGTGCGGCAGGTAGAAGGCTGATGCCCTGCAGGAACAGCACGAACGGCACCCACTGGTAGTAGCCGTGGTAGTGCTTCTCGGCGCGCGCGCTGTGCGCCCCCGATCCCGTGGTAGGCGATGTCACCTGGGGAACAGGGAGACGGTCACAGCGACGCCGGGTACCACATCGTGGGTGACATCGCTGAGAACACCCTGGACCGAGGGCGGATCGCCGGAGAGGCACGCGGCCCGCAGGTGCACGGCTGGACCACAATCGCGAGGAAGATCAGCGGCGGGTATCAGTTCTGCCGGCAGGCCGGTGCCGCTGGCGTGAGTGCTGTACAGGGGAGTACATGCCATGGTGTTGCACGTCATAGGTGTGCCTAATAAAGGCAAAAAAGCAGCGTACCGGTGTCTTTGTCTGACGTCTATATGAGTCACGTAGCCACAGTACGTAACACGTGAGTGAGTTGAAGCGGTACATTCCCATAGGCGACAGCGATTTTCAATTCCAATGGCCGGTTGAATAATTTGCAGGTCAGCTTTGCAAGTACTTTATGCTTGCGGACATCCCCAGGCAATCACACTGAGCACAAACAGCTGGATTTAGACGTTCCAGGCTGATGTTAGAAACATAAGTCAAGTTATGACATTTTTGGTTCGCAGCGAGGTATGGGAAACTTTTTCCTCGCAGGGCGCGTTGCCACTGTGATTTCTTGGAATTGTAGTAGATGGGTTTTAGATGATGTTTCGGAGTAACTCTATCGGCTGTCTTTTCAGCTTCTTTTTTCGTTGGTAACGAAGTGATTCACTTGATAGAAGAAAGAAAGGCCTTCAGTTCCTGGTTTTTCGCCACTATGACCTGAAAGCTCTCATTTTCATTTAGCGACCTTCATTCGATATAGTAGGAGGCACTGCTCAACGGCGTTATAATGCTGGATAAGGATACGTTGAGTATCGACAATGCCGTTTCTTCTTCAAAACGATAAAATGATGAAGTTTTTCCTTTACAATTTTATGAAGAAAAACAATCTGGACCCCGCTGCCGCAGGATGTCGCCAATCAGCCATGCTCCAACGGGCTCTGCCGCTTGGCAGCCAGGCCCGCTTGCAGTTTGTGTTGCCATGGTGTGTGATCGGTGTTAACAGTCCAGCATGGCATAGACCGGCATAGACAAATTGCATTGCCTTAACAAGGTTGTTGTAAACGTCCCTTCCGTGCTGTAGCCGAGCTGTTTCGGTTGTTGAGAACTCCATGCAAATGTGAAACATTCCTTTTCAGTGGCATTTTGCGAGCTAATGAAAACCCCATTCTGCTAACTTATTCCTTGCAGATGAATTTTGCATATTGCCTTCATTCGCTTGCAACCAAAACCGATATCACGCCGTGGGTCCTGATGGTTCAGTTGGTTAGAGCGCCTGCATTCCGATCCACCACCCTTGACGGGGGTAGGATCGGGTCGCTTTGGCGCTTTGCTGTATGGCCTGCGGTCGGTGGTGGTCAGTGGTGGAGGGCGCACTAAAGGCCAGGTGACGTTGATGATGCAGGAGGGGCCATGCCGAGCATGATGGCACGGCAACTTTCGCCTCCAAATTCTGTCGTTGACCGGGAATGCGTGATCGGATGGTAGAGGTAATGGCACACTCAACAAGCACCGCTTAGCGTGCGCCCCGATTTCGGAATCCACCCAGTCAAAAAGTTTGGATTAAATCTTAAGAACTGTTGTTTTTGTTTGTTGTTATGCTTGCATTGCAATTCACAAATGAAATAGCACGTACTGTGATTGGCATGTGATGTGCTTGCAGACGTCGCGCTGTATTTCTCTCTCTCTATCTCTCTCATCCTCTCTTCTCTCTCTTCTCTCTCTCGCTCTCTCTCTCTCTCTCTCTCTCTCCTCTCCTCTCTCTCTCTCTCTCTCGTCTCTCTCTCTCTCTCTCTCTCTCTCTCTCTCTCTCTCGCTCTCTCTCTCTCTCTCTCTCTCTCTCTCTCTCTCTCTCTCTCTCTCTCTCTCTCTCTCTCTCTCTCTCTCTCTCTCTCTCTCTCTCTCTCTCTCTCTCTCTCTCTCTTCTCGCTCTCTCTCTCTCTCTCTCTCTCTCTCTCTCTCTCTCTCTCTCTCTCGTCTCTCTCTCTCTCTCTCTCTCTCTCTCCTCTCTCCCTCTGTTACCCTCTTTCTGGGTCGCTCACTCAGGTGTTGTAGATGCGTGTCGTGATTGCATGCGCAGCTCGTGTACGAGTTATCATGGTAATTGAATTCACTGATCATCGATTCTGTTCGGATTAACTTCGGTGGTCGCCTTAGCAATGTCTTTATTCTCATTTGCGTGAACGTTAAATACATGTGCTCTTGGGCCTTTATCGCCACTAATCTGGCATCCAGTATCTTCGCAGTCCTCTTGTTTTTTTGCGTTTCTGGAAACATCACGAGATGATGACAAATGCGCCTTTGCTACAGACACCCATCCCCTCCCCTCGCAAGCATTACAGGGAATCAGTAATTGAAGCCAACGTCAATTTTGAAAGCGTCAGAGAACTGGCAAAATGCAGGCACATCCGGTATTTATACAAGCACCGCCAGATGTGCCTATGGCGTGTTGACGGCCAAACACACACAGCTTTCTACCGGAGACCTGAAGCCGCGGGAACTGGCACAAGGCCATCATGTTTGTTTGCGTGCTGCTGTGAGCAGACCTTCGTGGTTGGCTCTCGCTTGCAGTCCATGTGGTTCCGTTTCTCACAATTAACCATAGCTGTTGAGCGCCAACGTTCATGGGAAGCCTAACGTCAGCACCCGATGGAAGAAGTAGCCGCCAAGAGGTACTGGGCCGGTACCAAGTGTGTACCCTCGTCATGACACAATCACGCTTAGCGACGTAAACAACGGTGTGGGGCAAGATCCCGGCTTCTGAGCCAACAAGCTAACACTAGATGCTAGGAGATTTCGCAGAAGTTTTTGGCCCAAATTCGCAGGATTTCGTGGAATTCCGATGTCTAAAAAACTCCCTCCCCCCCGTCCCCGTCCCCACCCCCCACCCCACCCACCAAGGAAAGTTTGGCTGCAATCCCTGTCCGTGCTGCACTCATTATTGAGTGGCAGCTTTAGATGTGCTGGACTGTAAATCATTTCGACCTTTCCGGTCGGTGTCCATCTATTATAGCGTGACATAGCTGGAATAAAACGGCGTCTCTTTAGCAAACTCAACATGATTGACGAAACGATAATGGAAGGAAATCACGTAAATCAGCCTCATCTGTAATATCTCGCCTAACACAGCTAAATCTCGTGATTTGCCGCATTTACACCTTTTTCTTTGTACGGCAAGCGGATGATATCAAACAAAAACATTGCATTGGTTTATTTTTTACGAAGTGAGCAGAAAAAGATAATCAAAAAGAGGGTTTGAAACCTCAATGAATTCGAGCAACTGAAGTATAAATCGCTACTTTATTATCGACTCACCACCTTTTTGGTTGCAACACTTTGCATCAAAAGGTTGTCATAATTGAAAGCGCCAAGAACTAGTAGTCGCCTTCTTTAGAACCCATCCAGAGGACATAGCCACTCAAAAATAATTACGGTGCAAAGAGCTGCCTTTGTCAAGAATGACAACGTACGAATTTGTTTAAAAATACGCCAAGCGTAAGACGAACGAATTTAAGTCAACAACAATTCACACCCATATCTTAACGCGACCAAACTTGCGCTACTTATGTCAGTCGCCTCATCTCTGGTCATCTTTCCCAGACCTGTCTGCGGAAAATTAGAGCGCACCGGACTGTCATCAAGCCGGGCTTCTCACCACCACTGTGTTCCAACAACAGCTATGTAACCACTCGTGAATTGTGCGTGTTGACCGTGAGTTCGCTGCATCGACCCGTGAGTTCGCTGCATTGACCCGTGAGTTCGCTGCATTGGCCCGTGGATTCGCGGTCTTGACCCGTGATTTCACGTTATTGACCCATGAGTTCGCGGTATTGATTCGCGACCTCTTCTGTGCTGACCTGCGCACCGGAGCTGCGCAGATCTTCACAGCGGAGCTGAGTGGCGCGGTCTCACCACACTCCACCCTCACCGTGACGCGGTGACGTCACATGCCCGCGGTGACAGGTCAGGTATCGTCACGTTCGTCACGACGGAGGGGGGAGAGGGGGGGGGGGGGCACGTGTCGCGGGTGTGCCTGGCGACACGCGGCACTCTGACTCCCCCCCCCCCCCCTCTGTCACACGGAGACGAACGCTCGCTAGAGACGGGAGTGGGTTGCAGGCTGGCGGACGCTGCCACAAAACCGACCTGGACAACTATGGAAATGGCCTGGGACAACATGGTCTTAAATTTAAGAGCCCCTTTCGGAGGCGCAGTGTACATTGTCTTTGATTGGATGGAAAATTCCGGGGCACGGGTTCTTCCTCGAATGGGATGCCGAAACCGGTACGGTTAAATGAGGAAACTGCCTTCAGCCACCAAAAATAGTTCATGCGATGAGAATGCGTGTCGCGATCAGGTTCTGTTGCTGCTGAACAGCTGACGGTTGTTGAGTGAAGCTGATGGGTAGCCACCCAAAAGGGCCTCTAAACTCTGTGCTTGCGACTGCGGACCACATTGGCGGCAGGAAAGCGTCCGGTCATGTCCCACGAAGGCCTTCCAAGCTGCTTTTTTGCTGGCCGTAATCTGCCAATCAAGCGCCTCCTCCCATAAACGCCACCCACATGACGTGAGACCTCTGAAACTACATTGAATCCCATCGGCCTATATCCACTTTTATAGCGGCGGGATTATGCCCGCCACCTGACTCAACTGGCACATCTGTTCTAAGAACTGAGAAGCGCTTTCGAAAGTCGGGAAAGGCAACGTAAGCCATTGCTTAGATCTGATGTTGCAAATGGATGTATGCACTAGAGCTGCATTTGTTTTTTTTAGCTCCGGCTCCGGCTTTGGCTCTGGCTCTGACTCCTGCACCGCCGAGCACCAAGCAACACTTAGGCGCGGCAGGATAGGGAGGCGCGGACCTGAGCACGCGATCTGGAAGTCATTATACGTCAAGTTCTGTACGTGATGGAATTATTGTTTTAGCTCATGAAGGATGAATGATGAGGGCAGCAACCAAAAGATACGAACGTTTTCTTAAAGATTAAGCGCACTTCGTCAGGTAAAATGATACCAGGAAATTTGTGTCAGCAGTAATTTTGGTTATTTCAAACAGGACTGGCTGCAGTAGACGGTTCCTCTCTTCCATTTTCTGTTTTGTTGATAAAGTGAACTATCACCACTCATGACGTTAAAGTAAACACAGGGCTTAATGGTCACCAGCAAGTCATTGGAAAGGAGGACCCAAGTTTTTGGAAAGAAAAGAAGGTGTCAACATCAAATTTGGAGATGCGGTTGCCCCATCTGACCATGTCGGTGTTTCAAGCTAGTAGCATAACTTTGCAAAAATACTTGGGTGTTTCGGCAACCTTTTTTCATCTGATGCAGATCTTCCACGGTCACCATGTGTTTTGTGTTAAAAGTGGAATGATTGGTTCCCAGGTGCCCTTAAAAGAATGTTTCACACAAAATTATCCATCAACAGATTTGTATTATGCCCGTCATATACGCCAAAGTAGGTTGATGAAATACACCCGCCTACTGCACCTACACGCATGGCTACTCGCGTGACACTTAACAAGATCAGACCGTAACCTGTCACTGGGTGCTGCCTTAAACGTGTGTCCCATTCCGACCATGTTCTGGCACGCTGCACATAAAACATATCACCGCTGTACACGGCGGCAACCACTTGCTGTCGGAATAGGTGGAAACCGTGATGGGATGGACTGTCTGGTTATGTGATCATGGTGGTAGACACCACCTGTGAGGAAATTGCAGAGTCTCGGGTAAAACGGCTGTGATTACTTTGCAAACCAAACATTTCCGGAAATATGCTGCTGGTTGAGAAATTGAAAGCTAGTTGAGTTATTCAATCACATCCAAAGCGTGTGCGTGATTTCTTCGTTCACTGACCCCCCCAAGCGGTAAAACTGATTATTTTCTGGATCCGATTCTCCTCTGTCCTGAGCCTGTGCCGTAAATTGATATGCGGTGCTGGCAGATGAGATCAATAATGCCTTGATTATCGACTTGATAGAAGCTTTTGACAAAAATGTTTTGCATGCATGAGCACTATCAGAACATCGGGACATGAATTTGATCCTGCTTAAGATCATTTACGTCTTTCCGCTTGTGCTCTGAGTCGCTTTTGCTGCACCAAATGATTTCTGTGGCTTGTCATTAATGGTGGGTCATCCCTGGCCTTTTAGGCTAGGAATATAGACACATCATGGAGATCCGTTGGGCATTAGGTGTGTTTCACGTGCAGTGCCAGCTTATTCACGATAGAGACACATCTAATGTTTCAAAACTGGAGTTAATAGATTTCAAATAAAGTCCACCGACAACAAGAACCTGACGGCATCCCCGCTCGGGCACCACGTCTGCATTTCAGGATGACAAAGAGTTCTTAATAGAACGAAAACGATAAGTCATATGACTAAATTGGCAGGTATCCGATGCTCTAAGCAACCAAGATCATGATTTCGAATGGGAATGCTTTGCACATCTCCAAACCATTGTTTCGACATACCACGTAATACTTGTTGTAACCTTGAGAAACCAGCGTTGGAGATGGAAAATGCTGACTTTTGCCCTGCTTTTGGATTTGCTTATTTTTGTTTGTTCGTCACTGATATTTCCTCGTCTTCTTTGTCACATGCTGTACGGTTCACACTCCACATTTGGTTTGTGTGAGCAAGGTTTGTTTGGGAGCTGATTAAGTGCCATCCTTGCATCGCATTATATGATTGGCTATCATGTCCCCATTCAGAGGTAAGGGGCTGGTAAGAACAAACACTGTTTTGAGACTTTCTGGTTACACCCAATTTTGTCCTTGCAGGATTCGCTGTTTAAGGAAAGTGAATGCATGCAAGCCAAAACGATAGGCAGAAACATTGATCTATTTATTTTTGTCAACCCTTCATGGAATCAAATGCTAAAGAAAGTTCAATCTTTGGTAGGATTAAAAAACTGCGTATTAGCGCATGAATTGGCTCAGGTGTTGTTATGTTTCACTCGAGCTTTCAGGAACCAAATAGTAGTAAACATGTTCCGTTGCTCTTAGGTAGCGATCCAGTGATGCTCAAAACAGGACAAGCCTTTTCCACGAAGCTGAACATGTCAAGTACTCACAGTTGACGGAGCTACAGCCATTTTTTACCTTCATGCTCACCTGTTCTGATATCAGTATGCCGGTGCTCAATGCTGGGTCTCTAAAAGATGTATGGCTTCACATGTAAAAGTCATACAACCGACAACGTAATACACATTTTGCGTGGCTACTGGCGATGTCACATTATTTTCTCGTTGTTGGCTTGCCTTGCTTTTTTAAGAAATGCAAGGAAGTACCTTGAATTCTAAGCGTTCGTAACCATGTTTTCAAGCTTGCTGTGTATAGCGTTCAGCTTATTCTTCGGGAGTTGCTCAGACCTAAAACTAAAAACTTCTCCAAAAAGCTACATCTCATGGAAGTGTTTTTACGGATACACCTTGACCACGGCCAACTGTGGATCATGCACCACTTTTGGTACGCGGTGTCTAAAAGTAGCCACGGCCCCGCGTGTGCGGACCTAAAACATTACACCATTACTACGCTCGCAAGTGTGAATTTCTCGTGCTGGTTGAAACGGAACTGAAGATAAGGATCACGAGACGCGCGTCTGTAGCCGTGTGCGCCACGCATATAATCTTTGAGACTTGCTCAACGACATCTCCTTAGATCGCATTCCGTTATCACAAGCTCTCCATATCTGTGAATCTCAACACCACTGTGATAGCCTCGGTGCGTCACTACGTAGGCGCCACACGGGGACGGAACTGGCGAAGTGTGAGTGTTTGTAGTGATATCGGTAATGGAGGTCATGGCGCCGATAAAAGACAGGCACGCCGTCCATAACCGTCAGCGAGGAAGTGGCCTTGGCGGCACGGCCAGTGGCTGAGCTGAGGCAGCACCGTCAGCGCCACAGCTGACGGCCAGTGGCTGAGCTGAGGCAGCTCCGTCGGCGCCACAGCTCACGGCCACACGGCGCCGGCCACCCCCGCAGTCCGTGATCAGGGCCACGTGCTATTCACACCCGACAATGGCGCTGCCAGCTATTCCTGTCAGGTGTGGCTGTCCGCCGCGCGCACGCCGCGCGGCCGCCGCCGCCGCGGCCGCATGGCGCGACAGCGGTCACAGGCCCGTGGCAAGCGGCCTGAACCGGTCGCGTGACGTTCTATGTTGACTATGCGCCGGCACAGCTCCGTCGAACCCCGACCGGCTAAGGTCGCGTTCCTGTAAAACTCAGGAGTGAGTGGGTGGTGATGATGGTGTCAGAAGGAAAAACCACACGCGGCCCCTGGTAACGGGAAAGGAGTGATGGGATTTGATCACTTGAGTTGTTCACTGCTGCAGAAATAATGGGCTTAAATACCCAGTGACGCTTAACAAGCAGGTGATGTCGGAAAGAGCCGTCCAGGGTGCACTTACACTGCGTGGAACGAGAACGAGAACGAGACCAAGCGTGCTCAATGTGAGGATGGCGCCGATGCAGGTACAGCAAGCGGCGCCGATCCAACAAGCCCGACGACACCACTCACTGTGCGGGTACTGGTCGGACTTGTCCAGCAGCTGCGGCAGCGTGTAGGTGGTGGTGATCCAGCAGTAAGTGTTGATAACGTCGTTGGAGATGCGGTCTGGGTCGGCGTGGTGACACGTTACTGGGCTGCCGAACAGGCTGCTGGTGCACAACATCGCTGACGAGGCTGACGGCAAACAGAGCACGGTGTCACGGGTGCTCCCTCCCTCTCTCCTTCCCTCTCTCTCTCTCTCTCTCTCTCTCTCTCTCTCTCTCTCTCTCTCTCTCTCTCTCTCTCTCTCTCTCTCCCTCTCTCTCTCCCTCTCTCCTCTCTCTCTCTCTCTCTCTCCCTCTCTCTCTCTCTCTCTCTTTCTATCGCACCTTGCCTTAAGACTCAGAAAACAACAAGGGTTCTTGGTTGCTAAATCACTCAACTGACATTTCAGCAAACCCAGAAAGCAAAACATATTTCGGGTGAAACCAAACGCAGTCGTAACCGCCGTCATCTGATAATGTTTTTACTAGGTGCGTGTGTGCCGATCGAAGGTTGGATAGTGCGTGGCATAAAACGTTGGCTTTTTCGTCAAATATTAAGGACATCATCAAACTTTTCATCAGATCCTAAGATTATCATCTAGTTCTTCGCAACTGCAAGATAAAGGGCTTCTATTTGGATGAGGAAAGTGAAGCAATTAATCGCACCAAAAAGGGTCTGAAAAAGGCCTTAAGCTTTCGCTGAAAATGGAACAGCGACGATGAAATCTGGAATCAGGATATAAAGTGCATTTTGTCATTCAGCTAAATGGAATGGTGCAATTGGGATTGGTGTGAAACTTTTTAATAGCACAGCGGCGGGGGTGTAGTTTCGAATTCAGTCTAGGAAACTCCAGCTTCCATTTTTCCGCTCTTAACTTTGCCGCCAGCCCCAACCCTATCTGGAAAAGGGAAGTGGGCTGACTCAGTGGATGAAAGGGGATTTAATCTACTTCCCTTTTTCAGGGAAAGGGGAGGCCGTCCAACTAAATCCCCGCGGTCCATCTTCCCCAACAACCCATTTTGCGAACCTCAACCCCGGTGTGTAGTTCTGCAAAATAACTTAGGGGAAGCGAGCAGAATAAATACTAAGTCTAGCCCCCCCCCAAAAAAAAAGGTTTTACCTCCAGATTTATCCCACGATCTTCTCAAATTTGGGACGACTGAGGCTCCCTACCCCAAATGAAAGGACTACATTTCCGTCAGATCTATGTTCGGCAGAGTACCCACTTCTCCGTGATGATATTTTCCCTTGCAGACTTACGTCCGAGGCCGCGGGCGATTCTCGGCAGGGCTATTTCCTCATGAAGATTTTTACCTGAAGCTTTTGTGTATTGAGTGGGAATAATTAAACTAGTATATTGCTGCGCAGATTCTAGCGTATGGAAATTTCCACTTATAGCTGCAGTAACGGTGACCGTTTCGAATGGTATTTTAGTGTACACCTGACATCAGCAGGTCCCCCTTCCCTGAAGACAAACGTGACACATTTGGTGGCGCACCCTCACCAAGGAAGATGAATGTGGTCAGCCGATAGTGGAGCTGGAACAGTTTATTGTCGATGCGGACCCCGTCCGGTCCCTTGCCCTTGATGAACTTGATAATATCGCCGAAGGCCTCAGCGACGGCCATCTTGCCTGGCAACCGAGGTGGTCCCTGGAACAAAGAAGTCCAGGCGTGGGCTGATGGTGTGACAAGATGACGTCGAGCAGGCGCAGGACGGGTCGAGGTCACGCGCGCAGTCACTCTGCTGTCAGGGGCACGCATACAGAGACCTAGGCTTGGGCGAGCTGCAGCGGCTTGATTGCGTGCGTGCCGGACTGGGCGCCAAACGGCAGTCAGCAATAGAGAACGGGGACGCCGTCGGTGAATCGACAGTCGCATCAAGGCTGGCGTACCAAATCATAAGCATTTGAGACTCGCTGCGGCTATTTTGAGCACGAAGGCAGACGTTCAAGTGGTTGTTGAAGCTGAGAGTTGGGGCGCGGGTGCTGGGATGTATTTTTCAATGAGTCAAAACCGGAGAGTGCAGGGTGCAAGGTGCATCAAGCTTTTGTGCAGGGCCGGGTCAAAGCCAGAGAAGGCCGCAGGGTGCGCATGACCGGGTCAGAGCCGGGGGGGGGGGGGGGCCGCAAGGTGTGCAGGGCCGAGTCAAAGCCAGAGAGGGCCGTGGGCTGTGTGGGCCAGAGAAACACCAAACATGCAAGACGCGTTGTTCTTCTTACTCGTGGATGCGCAGTCCTGGTGGATAGAGAGAAGAGAACTCTATGGAATGGCTTCAAGGCATGGCAAAGAATGGCATATAACGGCATATATACCGTGCGGTATGGAGTGAGCGACTGAAGTGCATTCACATAAAGAGAGGCTGTTCCCTTCCGTCGGCACATCTCCGCGCAGTGACCTGCGTAACAGCTGACCCTTCTGTTGACATACGGTTGTGTAGAGACCTGGGCAACGGCTGACCCTCCCGTTAACACGCGGTTGCGCAGTGACCTGCGTAACGGCTGACCCGCCTTTTGACACACGGCTGCGCAGTGACCTGCGTGACGGCTGATCCTCCTTTTGACACACGTCTGCGTAGTGACCTGCGTAACGGCTGAACACACGCCCAGCGCGCAGTTCTATATGCAAGGATGCCATGGCTCTCCATAAAAAACAGGTAAATGACAGAAACAGATACGTTAAGTTAGCGGAAGTTCAATGGTAGCACCAGTTGTTCTTCTGGAAATGGCTTCATCCATACGAAATGGCGTTCCAGATTGCACAGCGATGCCACCGAGCATTTTCTGCTGAATGGGCTGATGCCATGCTCTCCATCTCAGGACACTAACGCAAGGGAGTCCTCGACAGCATTTAAAACCTAAAATTCAGGTTTTTTATCTTTATCGTTAAGCACGGTTGTATAATATTGGACCGTAGAACATACAGGGCACGTGATTAGACCTGGAATTAATAAAAACTAACTGGTTTATGCTGCAGTATTATATAATAGGTTTTACTACAACCCCGCTCATTGCCTTGGACAAATATTGAAAACTATCTGCGCTACAGAGCTAGAAATTACCAATATAGCCAATTTTATCACCAATGGAGTAATTCCAATAGTGTGCTGATTTATTTTCAGGTAGAAAGTACGCAGACTGCATTCCACTTCGGGAGAAGAACCTGCAAAAATTCCTCACGAGGGACGGGGGATCGGAGTGCGAGTAACTCAAGCAGCGCCAAGTTTACGGACTTCGTAGATGTTTTAGAGGCTTTTTAGAAGTTCTTAGGATACGTTTGGGTCTCAAATCTTGGGGATGCATATACGCTGAGAGGCACAAGCTCTCCTTATCTCCAAACTTGGGAGGTTCGCACTTGTGCTCAGGCTTACGCACCAGCCGACTTATGTACGCTTGGACCACTCCAGACATCTCTCGCTGTTTTTTTTTTTTTAGCAGAAGCGGGTCATTGAGGTGTTCCTGTCATGCAAGACTTATGGCTTGGCTTCCATCGAGTGTTCCATTTATTAGGAAGCAGTTACATGTTACCGTGACCTCATGGCTTGCCGTATGGTCACAATAATTTGCATTTGTTTTTGAGTGGCATTCAGTGACAATTTGCTACGACCAGTGACCACACGAGCGCGGTCTGCACCAATGCCGCTCGAACGAATCGCAAACGACGGAACACTGGTCCTGCAGCGTGAGGCTGGGCCGCAACTTCCTCACTGACGCACGTGGCGCGTGAATCACGTGCGCACAGTCAGGCCTCCCTCGCGAGACGCCCGCCGATGCGGGTGCGTGGGTGCGGCCGGGTGGGCAACACGTCTAGTTCAGCCGGGTCGGCCCTGGCTGAGTGGCGCGTAACGCGTGACGAGACCGCGGCGTGACGGAGGCCTGCGGGCGGCATGTCTCACTGGGGAGTCACCTGTCGGTCAGAGTCCCCGGGCCGCGGAGTGCACAGCATTGGCCGCCACGAGTGCGGGTCGGCTGCAGCTGTGCATACCGTCGCGGCCTGTAACAGGTAGCGAAACATTAATTATGCTTGCCGGTGGAACGTCCCAGCCCTGTCTGACCTCCAGGCGGTCATGATTCACTCTTCGGTTGAACGCTGTAAACTGCGTCTATGCATCGAAACTTCCCGATCATTTGGGATTTTCACTGGCATCCTTTGTGATGTTTTTGCAAGCTTATCAACACGCTCGCTACCTAAATAGTTTGTGGTTTGGACGGTTTGAGCGATGCCCGAAATTCCGCGATCCAGCCGGTGTAAGACGCAGCTAATAACGTGAGCCGTCCGTGCGTCGGTCAGTGACTGACTCACTTGGCGCCATCCTGTCCACTTGGCGCCATCCTGTCCACGTGTTTGCCTCTTGCGCAATATCTCATCCGGACTGACTCGACGTCATGGAATGCGGGCTGTAGCACTGCAGGAGAAAAAGATTAAAGCCTGACCCCGGTCATGCCTATGACAATGTCTGAGCCTAGAAAATGAGACTCCATGGCAGAATGGCTATCCATTTTTGTTTTGTATTCGTCGCCAGGTTGCCGGCGCTTTATCGGGCAGATACAAGCAAGTCTCGGTTTTAGCATGACTCCGCTGCCTTCTCACTTTATTCTGCTTCGTGCGGCCCACTGGTCTGTGCGATACAAGGTCACAGCCTGGCCATTTTTGTTCTCAGTGGAGCCGGGTGGGAAAGATTATAAGCGGTCTCTAGACGTGACGGCCCAACCCTGGCCGGCGTCCATGAGGCCAGACTCAGGGCTGCGGGCCGCCGGGATGGTGGGGGCGCGGCTGAGGAGCGCTGAGTGCAGGCCACGTGGTAGGGGCGCGGGTGAGGAGCCCAATGCTGAGCGGAGGTCACGTGATAGGGGCGCGGGTGAGGAGCCTAATGCTGAGCGCAGGCCACGTGGTAGGAGAGCGAGCAGGTGAGGGGTCTGATGCCAAACGCAGGCCACGTGGTAGGGGCGCGGGTCAGGAGCCAAATGCTGAGCACGGGTCACGTGGTATGGGCGCGGTTGAGGAGCCTATTGCTGAGCGCAGGTCACGTGGTAGGGGAGCGGGTGAGGGGCCTAATGCCGAACGCAGGGCACGTGGTAGGGGCGCAAGTGAGAAGCCCATTGCTGAACGGAGGTCACGTGGTAGGGGTGCGGGTGAAGAGCCTAGTGCAGAACGCAGGGCACGTGGTAGAGGCGCGGGTGAGGAGCCTAGTGCAGAGCGCAGGTCACGTGGTAGGGGCGCGGGTGAGGAGCCTAATGCCGAGCGCAGGTCACGTGGTAGGCGCGCG